CAGAATTGTTGTCTCAGGAACTGGTATGTGAGCACCAAAATGGGCATTGCTTAGTTTTATTTTCTTGTTAAATGACCCAGTGAAACTTAGTACTGTTTTCCCACAGGAAAATTACTATTTTTCTCCTCAGTCTTTATTGGATTTCATTATAGATGCGAAAGAGTATAGCATCAAACAGCCGACTTTCATTTCTTAATTAGCAAAACTGACAGTGATTAGGTAGGACAGAACTGATTGACAAAAAGAACTCTGGAATAGATAATTTAGTGAAAAGCAATATGCAAAACAATAAAAAAAGGTATTTAAATACATTTTCAGTGTTATAGATCTGCTTTTCTCCGAGACTGTCAAAGCTGCTAATCTGTCTTTCAATATCTCTACAAGATGCAAATTCATTTTTACTAACATGATTACTGAAAACAAAGTCAAGGTACAGGCAAGACAAGCCTGCTATTTTCAAAATGGCCTCTAATTTCAGTTCACACAATTTTGGTTCACTAGCTTCAGACACATACAGCTTGATTATCAGCACTACTGAAAAAACCTGCCTAAAACATGGGAAATAAGAGGGGAAATTACAGGACTTTGCAACATATTTTTTCTGTCCCTCTCTCCGAAAAATAAATCATTAAAGTTGGCATGCGAAGTCCTATTTCTACTTTTTCCATCTCTCCAACAATATCAAAGCATAATTTTAACATGTTAAGATTAGTATAGTATGTTCAGTCTCCTTATTTTTAATTTTTTTTTTTTCTGGTGGGTATTTCTTACATTGCTTTTGGGAAACATGGCTACGGACTGTTTTTTCATCCAAAATAATTGTTTGCAACAAACCTTTCTTCTAGTGTAATACGTATAGGATTTTTGGGAACATTAGCAGTTTCTCTCTGAACAATAGAAAGACTGTGCCTTAGAAAGCTCTGGAAAGGATTTAGAGGTCAAAGAAGACAAGTCACTCAACATGAGTTCCCAGTGAGATGTTCTGGGAAAAGACTGATGTGGTCCTTTGATATATAAGAAGGGGAGTTGGGAGTAGCATAAGGAGGTGTTTTTGCCTCTATCTGACACTGGGGAGATTAACACTGAGAATACTGCATACTGTTCCTGTCTCTTAGCAGTGTTGTTGTAACTATGGTGGTCTAAGGATACAAGAAAATTTTGTAGGAAGGCATGTATTTTTTTTAATTGGATCAGATAATGTACTTGGAAAAAATATGGAAAAACATCATCACATCATGATGTCTGCAATAGGAAAAATTGGCAATACTACAGAAAAATAAAAATTATTCCAACCTGGAGAAAAAATACAGTAGGGTAAGAAAGAGAAGTAACTCAAATTGTTCATCATATTAAAACCAATACTGAGTACATTAATGTCTTCAGTACACAGCAAATTCTGTGTGCTAAGAGGCACTCCTATTTGGAGATGAAAGTCATACTGAGGAAGAAAAGAAAGACATAGTGAGGAAAAGAGAAAAAAATGCAAATAAATAAGAAATAAGGCATAATTAGTTAGAAAAAAAAAAGATGCAAGTAACCATGCTGTGTATATGTGTGCATGCATGTACATGTACAGGTGCCTCCGATAACTTTTGAACTTGTTTCTCTGCAGCCACTCTTGGCAGGGGGGGAGGTCTGAAAAGCAGTTATGTTTCTACAGGTTTCATGAAAGCATGTGGTAAAAAATAGGTGAAACCTCTCATAGAAAAGTCCTGACAGAGATCTATAATAATCTGAGGTACTGTGAGGGCTATAATGTGAGTTGTCACACCTGTAAGACACAGAAGATCCACGAGGAGTTGGGAGAAGACCTTAAAAATGCTCCGTATATGGGAAGAAACTTTAATCAGAGCTCACAGCTTGTTAGGCATTGAAGTCAATCAACCATGAAACACGAATCCATAGGGAACTAAGCTTTATTAGTCTTAAGCCTATATTAGTTGTGCAATACTTAGGGTGATTAGCTGTTGGGATAAATTTCCAAGGGAGAAGCCGGTTTGCCATCCTTTTAAGTTTTTGGATGTCTTTTTTGGAAGACAGTGAAACACAAGTAATTGGGTTAACAACAGGAGTAAGTGAATGCAATTGTATGGCCTTTATAGTAGAGAAGGGGAAGCCTGAAGAAAATCTAATGATTTCTTCTGGCCATAAAAATCTATGAATCCAGGAATTAGAAACACAAAACACCTCAGAGGAGCCTTGTGAGGAATTGGCACAGTGTCATCCAGCTAATTAACTATATAACTACTGCCAAACGCATATGTCCAGGTGAAAGCACACTAGCTTGGCTACTGCATGAGCATGCTCTGCTCCAACATCTTTCATTGTTGTCAGTGGAATGTTAATAGATGATGGCAGCACAACAGGGGTGAGGACAGACAAGTGGGAAAAGTTTAAGATAATGTCATCAGAACTGAGTGCTGTCACAGTATAATGGTCTCCTGCTGGTACTTAAATGCAGGGGAACTCACGGAAAATTAAACATCAAGGCATGTTCATTTGCAAAGCTGGAGATATGGATCCTATGGCAATCTCCTCCTACAATGGGCTCATTTCTGCTTTACTAAATGGACATGGAAGCAGTGGACCAATATTTGTAGGCTTTTTTCTATGTGGCCAGAAGCCAGGTGTACTTTATCATGTACTTCATTTATACAAAGGAGCACTTATCTACTAAAAATTAAAAAGTGTCAATTCAGGTTGGATTCAGAGTCTGCTGTTAATTCTAGTTGTGCTTATGATCTCCTCTAGTCCCTGGGTTGGGGAGCTGCAGAACAGGCTTTTTGAATCAAAAGTACTTCACAGTTCGGACATGGTAGGAGCATTCCCCCAGCCAGCTACTACCACTTATTCCATAGATAACAGCTTATCAGGATGCAATATCTCAATCAGTTTGGGTTGTGTGCCCTTACATAGGACACACTGAGTTGCAAGCGCAGGTACTGTGCCAAAAGTTTAATGAAAATAAACCTGAAGTTTCTCTGTAGAATTTAAAGGAAGTAAGACAAGGCCCTGAGTTTCCTCTTCTGTATAGCAAATATATGGTATGTTATTGTTAGAATTTGTCAGGACATGCTAAAAGAATAAAGAGAGAAAAGTGAGATTTGTATATATTCATAGGGCTTCAGAAACTAACACTTCAGTGAAAATACTGATTACTGTAAGAGCCTAGCACAGGACAACCATGAGAGTTGGCAAGGCTGCTTCACAATCAATAATTTATGACAGGTCCACTAACTAGCAACAGCTACTTGTTATTCTTTTGTTAGCTATGAAACCATGTTACATTTGGATTTGGTTTCCATAAATATCTAAGCTAGTGTGTATCTGAATCTAGGAGTCTGGCTTGGTTTCAATAGCAATTTGGACTTTATCTGGCTAGCAGAAGCCTTTTTAATCTGTATCATTTAATACAGGGCAGCCACCTAGCATAAATACTCCTGTGTGACTGTTGGCATTTTGGTAAAGCATTTTTAATCCCTACATATTTTTCACAACTTGCCTATACTCATCCTTTAATAGGTTCACTTTAAGCCAGCAATTTCACAAAAGTTTTTGAAGAGGTTTTCTGAGAAAAACGTGCTTCTCTTTTAATAGGGTTTTGACTTTCTTTTAATCACCAACAAATGATTTAACAAAGTTGACACATGTATTGTCACCTCTGAGAGGGAAAGCAGTATTAAATTGCCTGGTGTATATTTCTTTAGTCTTTCTATAAACTTTAGCAGATTTGCTGCATTGGTGAGAATGCTGCATTGATGAGTATGGTTTTATGCTTTCACATTTTCGAGCTGGTTTTTGTTTCCTTTTTTCACTGTTTTCTGACATTATGTAGTGCTGGGAGTGTAAAAATTTGATGCAACAGTAGTCTTTCATTGTGACACATCATATGTAATCTTTCACTATTGTCCTTTGTCCTGCAACAGCTGACAGAGAGAGTACCTGCACAGCAGATGATGTTTTCCAGACACCAGCAAAAGCCTGATGTTATTTCTTAAGAATGCAGCAGCTACACTACAAACTGGAGCACCACCACTTGAAATCTCATTTTGCCATTGGTTTTCCACCTGCTTTGCTGCAGAAACAGCTGCCCTTGCTGACTACAATGAAGATCACTTTTTAATTGGATACTAATAGCTGTAGCTTCTCCACTTGTATGAATGATGAGAATAGAAAATCCAGTCCTTAGAATACAGAGGGATCATTCAGGAAAATGCTAGGCTAATAGTGCAGAAACATCAGTGTGGGAGGTGAGCCTGACTCTGCAGAGGTATGCTCATTCATAAACATGAGCCAGCTCTTCCATTGTGCATATTGTATTTCATATTGGAGGCAATACGAATCATTCTGTTATATTATCCTGTCAGATCTAGCACACCAAAGAGGACAGGGCTAGCTTGGTATCAGAGGCTGAGGTTTACTGGAAAACACTTAAAATATTTCAAGAAGTGCTTTCAGTACAAATCTCTCAGGTTGGAGAGGTGAATTTATCATATTTCCTGTACTTCCTCCTTTTCTCCTGGCCTGGCAATATTTATTACTGTCATACTATATCAAGACATATACATCAAAATGAATTCATCATTATGTCTGTACCAGCCCTCCTGAGCTGGCATTGCGTGGATGTACAACTTAAAATGGCATCATTAGAGTGTCTGTATTCTGGGTAAATATTGTACTGGGGCCTTGACTGTGTATTTCTTTAAGTTTAGGGATATTACCCCTTTATTCTTGTCTTTGAGTAATTGTATTTGCTCATCTAAAATCCCTCCTGTCGTTTCATTTGAAAACACAATCCCATTTAACTTTCTCCCTTGATACACTATATACTTCATTGTTCCAATACAGAAAAAAACCCACAACATTACATTTTGGTGATGGTGGAATAATTCTAAGACAGAAATAGCTTTTAAACAGTGGTTGCAGAAAGCACTTTGGGTATTTTGATGTTTATTCTTAGAAAAGCTCCCCTCCCCTATTTTGATTGTGTGCTTAAGTACGTTTGACTTCAGGACATATCTAAAGCTGAAATATGTTAACTGTCCTCCTCAGCATTGATGTGTTACTAGTGCAGGACCTAAGCTCATAAAATGCATTGGGATTCTTAGAGATGAAAGAACTGTTGTTCATGTTCCATTGTGTTTTCTCCTTTAGGACCACAGCTGCAATGCTGAATAATAAGTAATAATAATACACAAATCCATTAATTTATGTGGCCATGTTAGGACATGTGAGCTCCAATAAAACAAAAAGATCAATGAAAATTTGGAAATCATGTGGAAAACATATCAGAGGTGTGTTTGTAACATATATAGGTGGTCTGCCATGTTGGGAAAATCGCATACATTTAGGAAGTGCTGTTACATGCATTTTGAAAATGCTTATTTAAATCAGCCTCTTAAAAAAAAAACAAAAAAACCCCAAAACAAACAAACAAAAAACCCCAACAACACAAAACCCCACAACTTAGTCCTGAAATCCTTCTAGCAAAAGCTTTGAAATTGAACAAATCATTCTCACCACCCCCATCAATAAAGCAGTGTTCTGGCTCTGCTTTAAGCAGACAAAGTGCAGGAAGTTTAGAGTGCGAGCTGTGAGCTAAGGCCCTGTGACACGAGGAGGTGTTGCAGTTGATGCATATCAGGCACCACAGCAAAGCCAGTGCCTTCATTCCTGCACCAGCATCTCGTTAGCTGGGTAGGGGGCAACCTTTAAATGGGGATTCATCCTTGTCTCCAAGCATTTTGGCTTTCTATGGCTCATAAGGCGATGGCCTTAGCAGTAATCAGAAAGACCAGTGCCCCAGAGCGGAGGTGCAGGCTGCGGCCGTGGGAGTATGGGGCTATGCTACCCCATGGCTCCTGGGGCAGGCTGCAGCACTCCTGCCAAGCAAGTCATTGATAGAGAGCTGAAAGCATTTAATAGCCCTGTGCTAGAGAGCAACATCATTACAGCAGGACTGCAAAAATAAATACAAGAACTTAACCCAAATTACCTCATAAAATGGAAGAAAACAGAGCACTTGGTTTGCCCCGTTTGAAGTACTGGGGGAAGCCTAAGGGGCTGGACCTTTCTTCGCACACAGAGGGGTTGCTGGTGCTGGTGGTGTTAGGCCAATTTAAAGGTGGTGTGAGACCAAACGGGCTTTTGTGCGAGTGGATATGACAGGGTTAAATCAATCTGAATTGAAAGGGGATTAGACTCCGGGTCACTTGAGCCACGCAGGGAACCCGGGGTGCTGAGCCACGCAGGGAACCCGGGGTGCATAGCTGGCCGTGGCCGAGCTTGCCGGGCCGATGGCTCACGCTGACCAGAGCTCGCCTAGCCGTGCCGTGCCGTGCCGTGCCGCGCCGCGCCGCGCCGCCTGGGCGCAGTTGGGCTGGATCACGGCTGACACGGGGAGAGAGGGAGCAGCCGCGGCTCCAGCCTGTCGGGCCGCTCGGCAGGTTGATGGATGTGCTGGCCTGCGAGCGCTCGCCACCCCGGCCAGTCCAGCCCATCCACAATGAGTTACAGTTTCCCGGTCTCCCTCCCGGCACCTCCTCCCCTTTTCCCTCCTCGTTGCCGGCCGCCCGCTCAGCGTGCAAAGCCTTGCCCTCGCTCTGCGGTGCCCGCTGGGAAAGGCTGACACTGCACCGCTGCAGAGCCCTGGGCGACCGAACAGCGCGGGGGTATCTTGGTTGCCACCCGGAGACATTTTCCTCCCTGAATGGAAGGGACTGAGGTTGAGCAGGAGAGGGGACAGCGCACTCGTGTCGCCATGCGCCTGGCTGGGGAGCGGGGCCGGTTCCCAGTCTGTCTTTCGCCCCTCCGGCCTCCCACCCTCTCGGGAAGCTGTCCGCAGGGGAGCCATCCGCCCGCAGGGCGTCCCGAGGAAGAGCGGAGCGCGGCCGTCTCCCAGGGAAAATGCGCTCCAGCCCTGCCGTGTTCCCACCAGCGTCTCTTTTCCCCTCCACGCATCTGTTTTCGTTTTCTTCACATTTATACTTTAAAGATGATGATCGCCCCTCCACATCCCTTCCCTCTCTCCACCCCCTCCCCCCCTCCCCGGAAGATGAATTTCATCTGTGCCTTGAAAAGGGGCAAGAAACAATAAATATTTATGGGTACCAGGGGAAGGTCGAACTGTAAACCACCACTTACCCATACGTCTCTTACGAAAGGAATTAGTACTGCAAAATTTACATTAGGAAAAAGAAAAAAAATAAAGACAAGAGAAGCATTTCTATGATGTGTAAATGCTATGCCTCATACCCATTTAAACTGGAGCAAACCACCTCTTCACAGGGCCAAATCTGGGGCATGGCCTTTTAACTGTAATAGCCAAATTAAAACAAACGGCCTAAATTAAACACTCCAGCCCTTGCTGAACGTGAGAGTTCAAGTGGTGAGGAAATATGCGTGTAACAGATCGCTTCTCTGCAGTTTTATTTGAATGAAGGCTTAGTTCTTTTGAAACAGTTGTAAGTGTATTCAGAGATACTGCACAGATAAAGATATGTAAGAACATAAAAATACCAGTGTATGCAGCCAAGCACAAACAGCTTATATGCCTTTAAATCCAGAAGGGGCCGTAATAACAGTGTTCGGTATGGCTTGTTAGAAGCCCAGGCAAAGATAAAACTCCAATAAAAAGTACATTCTTTTATGTTCAGTGTTAAAGGAAAGGCAATGTAAAATGAGGATTTATGTTTGTGGGGGCAGGCAGAGGAATACAGGCCCTTTAATAACCTGGTGCTGTAGAAGAAGGAGCAAGCTCCAGTGAGTTTTCAGGAACTCCCTCTGGCAGGGGAAAGGGCCTGAGGGAACCTGGCTCTCCCAAAGCAGGGCTGAAAGCCTGGAGATGGGCAAGGAGTACAGGGATGCTTCAGCAGATTGTCTGCTTCCCAGTAAATCTTGGTAGAGCACCTAGGCTTAAAGACCTCACTTTTTCATTATTCATCATCCATTTCGAAGTAAGTTTTGGAATATGCTTCTGGTGACATTTACCCTCTGGCTTTTCTTTCAGCAAGGATGATTCCCAAATGGCCTTCACACCAAAATCAGGTTACTGTTGGCTTCAGTGCAAGCAAGATCATGTTATAAAATTGACCATTCTGGTTGTAGACCTGCAGTGGCTGGTTTTCAAGTCGTCTGGAGTACTTAGCTTGTGTAAGGAGAGTAAAACAGGCTGTGGCTTTTCTGTGTTTGTATTCCCAGTGGAGTAATACATAGCTGCTGGGGATGGAGCATTTGGTATTCTAGGGGACATGGGCTGGTGGATCCTAAGGGGTAACTGGGACTAAAACTGGAGTTTTCTCTGACCGAGGCTGAAAAGTCTCTTTCTCTGCTGTTTCCTTAGAAGAGGTAGAATGGGAAGAAACCTCAGTTCCTCAGAAACTTTTGCCCTCACTATATTCATCGTATTTATCCATAATAAGTTCTCCCCAAATCTTCTTACTACATTCCAATATTTATAAATGCATCTAGATACTGTTTTCTAGTTTCTGTGAAAGGCTAACTGATCAGAAGCAGACACCAAGTAAACAAAATTTCATTGTCTCAATATAAGATTTATAACAGCATTTTCAGAGGAGCATGAGTCACAAGGAGTTGCTGTCAAGTGTGTGGGGGTTGTACAACATCAACCTTAAAAATCTGGTGTGACAAGGTTTCTTTGTTCCTGCACTCCTCTCCCAGAGACAATCAGACTTGTCATTTGTTCAGTGGAATTACTAAATTATTTTTTTTTCCTGAAAACTACTGGCAAAATATGCTATGCATATATAGACACATCTGTCTGTACAGGAGATGCTGGTGAGATGTCCCCAGAATGAAACAGATTTTATATGGCACATGGAAACTCTTTCCAATGGATTTTTCTTTGGGGTAAGATGATCTGGAGAAAGAGTGTAAAGATTTGATAGCTTTCTCTGTCTACATGGGACCATTTATGTGGATAATTTTTGGTTTGTTATTCCCAAGCTCAGGCTTTCCCAGACTTTGGAAGTTACCTGTGTTTAAAAATTAGCTCTATCTCCAAATATTCTCATTCTACTTTCAAGATTGTTTAACAAAACCAATAAAAGTCAATGAATTGAGTTTCTCTGGGTTCAAAGAGCTTTGAATCAAGACCTGGCAGACTTAGCTTGAAGTGTCAAAGTAGTGTTGAGTTTGGAGGTGTTTGGAATTTTTGTACCAGGCACATTTGCATATACATACATACATATATGTGATGGGTTATGTAATTAATAAAAGTAATGAAATGGCAAATTTTCATTTATTTCTGATAAATAATACATTATGGTTTTAAGTGGTGTGTTTTGCATCAAAATTGTTTTGTGGTGTACAAATATATTTTAGAAAAAAAGTATAAAGGAAAAGGAGGTTAAGATACAGCTTGCAGCTTTAGGAACAACAGTAAATACATTGCACTAACGACAAATACTGGAAAATTAAATGGATTTAAAATTCCAAATCTTTTTATCAAGATTAGGGAAAGTCATAGAGCTGAAGGGAAAATAGTTAGTGAAAATGAATATAGTTTACTTATGCAAGGTATAAAATATATTACTAGCTTATAGCTGTGGATATAAGAGGAGCAGAGCCTGTTTGCAATTAATTCCTCTGCTCATGTTTTGAGATATGTGGGACTATGGGAGAAAAAGGTCCCAGCAGCTTGATATTGAGAAAAGAGAGGATCCTATGAAGTGCCTTGTGCAAGAGGCTTTCGCTGCCTAGCACCATTCTGAAGTCTTGAGTGGGGCTGGGGTAGGTCTTGCGGCCCTCGAATGCTGCAGTCAGCAGCAGTTCCTCTGTAGGTGGCATGTGCTCACCTAAGTCAGTACCCATGTCTCAATAGGACGTAGGGAACACTGCTGATGCAGGTAGTGTTTTTCAGAAAAGATATTAAAAAGCTTCTTCACAATTACTGGTCTTAAGTGTTTTGCAATCATTTCTCTGGCAGTAGAGTTCATTTACTTCATGTTGCCCTAATCCCAGTTCCACCTGGGATCCTTATGTTTACCTAATTCCCTCTGAACTTGCAAGTTGGATGTGGTATTCTCCTTGCTTTCCTGCTCTCATCTGTTGGGTCATGTTGCTGCACACCATTACGCATATATTGCTATCCACTGCAAAGGGGTTGTGTTTCATGAGTTGAGTCTTAATTAGAGTTTACCAGAATATTTTTTCAGTCTTGGAAAGCAAAGTGCTAAGTTATTACTATAATAACATTTACTATTTAATTACATTTCAGTAATGTCTGTAATGTTTTGGGTACGTTTTAGATGTTTACCTTCTTGGGAATGAAATGCCTGTAGCTTTTGATGTGATTTAGATCCTCTGTAGATTAATAGTTCTTGATTAAAATCCAAGTCCTTTCCACCTTGTTACACGTTGATTGGGCCCACCCTGTGTTACAGAATACCTTAGAGAAGTAGAGATCCCCCCTGTATACATTAGATGATAGGCTGATCAGAGATAGGCTGATCAGATGTAGGCACAAGTTACATGATTTGTTCGAATTTGTCCAGCAGTTCAGTGTCAGAAGCAGAACCCAGGTGTTACTGCCTGTCTCTGATGGTCTGTCTGCACAGAGAGGGCTGGAGCTTGCTGCAGCATCACCGAAGTTATCAGCCTGGCATCCATGGGTTACTTTTGAGAGATTCACCACATGTAACTAGAAAAAGTGTGTGCACAGAAATGTAACAATGTGTGTGTGCCCTGACAATGATTAATGTTCCCAGGGTTGGAAACTATTGGGAATAAAGGAGTTGTCAAACTAGCTACCTTGGATACTGGTAGCGCAGTATTCATAGTGGCATGGAGCTTAATACAAACACCTAACTGTGGCATACACGTGCTAACTGCGGCATACCTGTGCTAGCCTCCTTCGCTCCTGTGCCACCAGGCATAGCTCAGCTAACCCTAGAACCTGAAGTGCTTGGCAAATACTAGGCAAAACTGTCACCGTGCCATGTTGGGGCTTTCGATAAAGCAAGTTTTGAAAGCAGATTCCATGGATAAAGGAAAAATCTTTCAAAGTGTTTTTGATAAGAACCACAACATGAAATCTGGGTGGAAGTTAGTCACATCCTCACCTGATAAGTAAGT